CCCCCCCCACACACACACACCCTAAACTTCAGAGGAAGGAGTATAAAGCGTGCCCTCATCCTTTCCCTTAAAAAACTCCTACTGGGGCCGGGGATTTAGCTCAGTGGTTCTGGTGCCTGCCTCAAAAGCGCAAGGTCCTGAGTTTGATCCTTGGTACCAAAAAACCCCCAAAAAACCCACAAAACACAAAAAAACCTCCTATTGCCTTTTAGGGTGGTACCTCTTTAGTCATCCTAAGAAGTTGGTAATCTAATACATCTTTTTCCTAGGGGTATTTGCATTAAAAAGGACTTGAGACAGCAGCTTAACCTGGAGATTGGGTGACCTGGTAGGCAGAATGAAGGGTCTGGAGTTGGATACACCCAAGCTCAAAGCCCAGGTCTACCAGTTATTAACAGTAAGACCTTTAACACATCATTAAACACTTCAGAGTCTGTTTCTTCATCTGCAAACAGAAGTACCTCCATCCCCTTGTAGTACTGTGATTGGAGAAAACAGGTGTAATGCTTATGATACCGTGCTGGGTACTCAGGTACCTAATAAATGCAGTTGCTAATAGTAACATACCTATTCCAAATGAAAATTTCTGACCCTCTAATGTTGGCTTCTACATATCAAAGCACTTGAAAATGGTGATAATTTAAAACAGGGGGTCAGTGAGACCCCTTTAAGTCACACATATGACAAGAACCATGTGCTGTGGCACTGCAGGGGTTCTTTTGGTTGGGCACGCTGCCTTAGTCCATTCAGGATGCTGTAACAATATACCATAAAGTGCAGGGTTTATAGGCAACAAAAATTTATTTCTCACCATTTTGGAGGCTGGAAAGTCCAAGGTCAAAGCAACAGCAGATTTGGTATCTGGTGAGAACTTGCTTTTGGGTTCACAGAATTACATTTTCTCATTGTGACCTCACATGGGGAGAAATGAGCACGACAGCTGTCTGGGGCCCATTTATAAGGGCACTAATCCTATTCATGAAGGCTCCAGCTCTGACCTGATCACCTCCTTAAGGCCCTACTGCCTAATGCCATCACTTTGGCCATTAGATTTCAACATCGGAATTTGGGAGGAACACAAGGTGTGCACAGGTGCTCACACTCACCTAGGGCACAGGTAGGCTGCAGAGATGAGGCATGCTGCATGGAGGATCACAGGCCTAACTGTCCGGGAGCATGAGAAAAGTTCCACCCGAGGGCTCTTGCTCTGCATGCTCTCTAGGGCTGCTGTTCCCAAACCCAGATGCCACTCCTGTCGCTGCTCGGCAAACTCTCTGCTGTCACCAGTCTGAGCAGCAAGGATCTGCCACACTTTCCAGCTCTGTTCGAGTTAGACTTATGAAATCAGACTCTACAGACACACAAAGTCAAAATGGGTACACAGGTGGAAATAAGAATTCTTACTGTGGTGAGAGAGGTCTGGTTTGGGAGGAAGCGATTCTGATTTTTCAGGTTGCTCTACGGGGATACCAGCTCCCTGAGGGCTGGCTCCGTTTCTCCCTTGGCCACCTTTGTCTGAGAATGGAAGAAGCTGGATCAGGCTGAGTATTTGTACAGTACCATGAAGATGCATTATTTTTTTTTTGATTTTTTAAAAAGTATTTTATTAGAAGATTTTATCAAGGGAAACAAGAATCTTGGTTGAATACTTTGATGTCAAAGATGTTTCATTAATCAGTTTGGACATACCATAGTTTAACTTGTTTAGGGAACATTGCCCATCCTGAAATAATGAGTTATCTCTTTGCTGAGTATACTCTTCTTTATTATTAAGTAACAGAAAACAAGACATTTATTTTGGAAGGAGTTCTCCATAATAAAGAGGACATTTTCAGAATGAAGAAAAAAAGGGTATTGGCTGTTTTTAGTACGAAAGTACTGTTAGCTATGTAAAGTCTTTTAAGTGCAAATTATTGCATCAGCCAGTGGTTCCCAAAACAGATACAATCATACTTTAATACACTCAAAACACAGAACATTTCCTCTTCAAAGTAAAAAAATATGTATAGTTAAATTTCTAAGAACTGTTTCTTCAGTAATCTCTTTTAAAAAATAATACAAACCCCTTCAGGAATAGTTTATTCAGTTTTCCCATACTTTCTCTCTCATCAGTCTTAAGATGCATTATTTAACTCACACTTTACAAACAGGGAAAATCATTCATGCCCAGGCTCAGTCTGCTTGAACATAGCCTAACTGTCACTTCTGCCCCCAGTGGACAAACTGCAATTGCTGGTCTCAGATTTTAGGTAGGCTCTCAGGGTGACCAGCAGAGGGCGCTGGTGACCGACACATGTTGTTTTAGGCGCTGTGAAAAGGGCTGCAACTTCCCGCACAGGCCAGTTTGTGAAAGCCCCTCTTGCTTGCTTCCTTGTGGATGGACAGGGGACACGTGCCCGTCACGCTCATGCTCAGTGAAGCTGTACAGGACATAGACTGGCTCTGCAGACCCAAAAGCCTGACAAAGGTCTTAAGTTCTGACACGTGTTCCTCCTACAAAATTCCTTTATGTTGCAGTAATGACCAATGAGCCATGTGTGCTCATTGTCTTAACCCCAACCATATTCCTGATTCATGCCCCCACCCCATACCAGTAGCTCAGCACTAATGTGTCCAATGTATAAACACACCTGTTGGCAGAACTTTGAACCATTTTCAGCTGGCTGACTGGAAAATCTTGCAGTCTTTTTTTTTTCAGGCTGTGTAGTTCAGGCTGGCCTTGAGTTCACTATGTAGCCCAGGCTGGCCTCGAACTTTCGGCAATTCCCCTGCCTCCGCCTCCCAAGTGCTGGGATTGCAGGTATGTGCCAACTTGCCCAGCTCTGCAGTCTTGATGAGTTACTCAGAAGCCTTCTGGGGATCAGAACATGAGGAAGAGAGAGGAGGAGGACAATCCAGGGGATTCTTCTGAGAAGGCCCAGTTCTTCACAAAGTTGTCTTTGGCAGGGAAAAGCTACCTAGGTCGTTACAATGTCCCTGCCCTTTAATCTGTCACACTGGGCAATTACTCAATATAGTTCTGAGAGCTGGGCTTCCTTGGAATTTAAGGCCTATTTATGTCACATGTCCCCTTTTATCTTCTCAAAAACAAATTTAAAACTTGATAAATATGATAGGGCATTAAGTTTCTAGGAAGCAATTCTGATAAGCCTTGATTTCAAAAGTTTGTTTATTTTAATCAAGAATAGATTCTAATCTTAACAGTAAGACTGATTTAAAGGTTTCAAAAGCTATACTGCGGAACCTTCAAGGGATTGAAGAGGATAAACAACTACCAGGCAGACTAACTAGTACAACCACTTTTTGCTATGCAAAAGTCTCAAGATCTGATTTGCAATTACAGTTTATATTAAGTTTATAAATAAGCACCGAAAATAAATATGTAATACATTTCCATTTATAGTTTGTAAGTAAGCTCTGAAAATAGATTTGTAATACATTTACATTTAATGTACTGGCACAAAGTAGTAATTGAAGAAATATTTATTTCATGAATATCTATACATTTAAAGTAAATATCTATTTTGACAGAAACAAAAACTCCCCTGTTGGAAGACATTTTAATGAGCTGTCACTTTTTGCACTATGGAGCCCACCTCCAGCTTACTCTCAGAGATAGGTGTGCCTGCACATTAACTGTCTTCCGAATCTCCTTACAGACACACATTTCTGCAAAACTTACAAGGGAGGTGTTATAAAAGAAAGGAACCCTTTCATAAACATCCTGGTCCTACTGCTTGATTCCCCTTGGGTCTCATTTCTTTTGTGCCTTAGGCATGTGAGCAAATGCTAATTTCTGTAGTCATTACTAAAATAGATAATATATTCTAGAAAGCACTTTAGTGCTGTATATATGGTCCCCCTTTTTACAGATTTCCAACTGAGAATGAGGATGTCCTTATACTAGAACAAGGACACTATCGCTTCTCGGCCTTTTGGCTAAGATCAAGCGTACCAGAACAAGGACACTGTTGGATTCCACTTCAGGGATGTTCAGTAAATATTTTATGAGCTATAGGAAGGAAGAAAACTATGTGATGAAAATGGACTTCACTATAGTTAGCAACAAAGAGACAACTTTGTAACATGATTCCTTCTTAGACTAAAAGTACTGTTCATGGGATATTCATGTACCTGAAATGCAACTATCATAAACCCAACACACTCAATCAGCTACTATGTCCTTTCTGGAACAGGAGACTGGGTAGTGATGCCATTCCAGACTCTTAGTACTGGTATTCCGTCAGCACACTATTATATCTCACAGGCAACCATTCAGTGCAACAAAACCAAGCCTCAATTGCATTTCAGCTAAGATTTACAGAAACATTATGACTTTATAAAAACAAGCCAATCAAAAAACCTAACTAGGGGCCGGGGATTTAGCTCAGTGGTTCCGCCGCCTGCCTTGCAAGTGGAAGGATCCGAGTTCGATCCCCAGTACCAAAAAAAAAAACAAAGAAAACCTAACTAGCTGCACTGAGAGGCATGCAAGATTGAAATGTGGTGATGTTACAATCTGACATCCAGTGTAAGAGCTTAGAGAGCAACAGGTACATCCAGCCAGAAAGCCTTTGGACAGAATGTCCTGGTACATATGGCGATTCTAATAAGCTAATTCTAGCTGGCCGTGGTGGTGCACTCCCATGATCCCAGCTACTCAAGAAGCTCTTGGGTCTCATTTCTTTTGCTTTTAGAATTATAAGTTTGAGGCCAGCCTGAATTACATAATGAGACCCTGACTAAAAAAAAAAAGCACAAACAACCCCAGACAGACCTGGCAGCACACACCAGTCATCTCAGTACTAAGGAGGCCAAGGCAGAGGGATCATGAGTTTGAGGCCAGCCTGGGCTACACAGTGAGTTCAAAGCCAGCCTCAGCTACATAGTGAGACCCTGTCTCAAAACAACAACAACGACCATAAAAACCAAGCTAATTCTAAACTTCATGAGTCCTGGAGGATGAAATTGGGAGGAGGATTGGAAGAAAGTTAAATTACCTTTCTGGGCACCGCTCTCCCCAGGGCTACCCCGGGGGTGGAGCAGAAGAGCCCAACGTTCACTCCAGGAGTGGCAAAAGAGGACTTGTCACTTGCCACGGCGATGTCACAGCTGGCAACCAGCTGACAACCAGCAGCTGTGGCCAAGCCATTGACCATGGCAATGATGGGAACTGGGTGGTTCCGGATCAGCATCATGACCTGCAGGAACACATACAACCACTTCACGTCCTTGCCGAAGGAGGAGCCATCCTAATACCTGTTATTTTGTCTTTTCTGTTTCCAGAGCTTTTCCTATGCAGTCGTTAATCAGATTCTATGAAAAAAAGAATAAAAGAAAACACAAAAAGCACTAACTTGTATTAAATATCTACTGTGGACCAGACCATATCATTTGGGCTTTCAGAGAACCCTGTAAGGAAGGAAACCTATTTGGCACAAGGACAGGAATCTCAAAGAGAGGGAGTTACCTGCCTAAGGCCACCTGCCAGGCTGACTAGTGGAGGCAGAGGTGACAGGTGGCGTCCCCTTGGCTCGCTTCCCCAGCAGCACCCCCACTGAAGAACACTGAGGAGTTTTGTCTCTGGAGAGCAAACAAAACCTTCACAAATAGTTCTTTTCTCCCCGTGCCTGTGTGAAGCCCTTGTGTTAAAACTCTGAAATTGGTATTTGGTGCTTTCTTGAAAAATTAAGATGGAAAAGGGACTTGAAGGCAATTTCCTCAGTAATTACTTCTCAAATTACCACCACAAATACTCTCTCAATTCTATTAAGTTAAAATGGGGAGGGGGGCACCCTGCTGTCATGAAAATAAACAAAATTCCTAAAATGGAGCCATTGGCACCTAGAAGAGAGATGAAAATGCGCTCATGTGACCCCCACTGCCATAAACTGCCAGAACTTTCACTTATTTTTGCAGCTTGGGTTTCTCATGACAGTCTAAACAGATTGCGTTGCTATGGCAACTTCAATTTCTAAATTATTGCTCTTTGAACCTTGGCAGGGAGGGAAGTAAAGATAGAAACTACATCTGGATTTTTCCCCAAGGCAGCAATTCAGAGAAAAATGACCTTCATTGATTTGAAGATTTTGCCTAGGAAACTTACCTTATATTCAAAAACATTTGAAATTTATCAGCTTCTTTTCTAAAATAACCAGTTAGGCACCGTGTGATGACATTTCATTCTAGTACAAACTGTATATATGATGGTAGCTACATAAGACTATCATGGAGCTGAAAAATTCCTATCATCTAATGGCCCTGTAGCCACCAGAGTGTCACACTGCCAGGTGCTGCTCATGTGGTTGTGGTGATTCAGGTGTAAACACATCTATAGCACTTGAGTCCTACAAAGGTGTACGGTTGTGTACAATACATAATACTTGACAATGAAAATAAATGACCGTGTTACCAGTTGACATATTCATTATACTTTAGTTTGTGTGTGTGTGTGTGTGTGTGTGTGTGTGTTTGTGTGTGCGCGTGCGCGCGAGTGCTGGTGATTGAATTCAGGGCCTTGTGCATGCTAAGCATGTGCACTCACTGAGATACACCATGGCCCCTATATTGTTTTTTTAAGACAGGTCTCACTATGCAGTGCAGGCTTAGCCTTGAGCTCCCTGTGTACTCTAGGCTGGCCTTGAACTCTTGGCAATCATGTTGCCTCAGCCTCCATAGTGCTGCAATCACAGGCATGCACTACCACATCCAGCCTGACTCCTATACTATTTATCATTATTTTAGAGTGTATCTCCACTTATTAAAGAATGTTTACTATAAACTTTATGCTTTCCGCCGCCTGCCTCACAAGCACAAGGTCCTGGAGTTCAATCCCCTGTACCAAAAAACAAACAAACAAACAAAAAACTGTATGCTGCACTGCACTGGCAACAGCCTCCCCACCTAGGGGTTACTCTCTCTCTCTTTCTCTTTAATTAGTGCATCCTAGGGTGTACAGATTAATGAGTTTTGTTTTGTCAGATCTGTCCATGCAGACAGCATGACTGGATCATTTGCAACCGCCTGTCACCTTCCTTGTCCTTCCTTGTTCTCTCCCTCTTCTCTTTCTACTTTCATGTTCTCTCTCTCTCCTCTCTGTCTCTCTCTCTCTCTCTGTTGATTTACACATATGAGAGAAAACATGGTATTTATTTCTCTGGTTTATTTCATTTAACATAATAATCTCTGTTTTTTGTGATTGATTTAATCTCATTTTATTTTGTTCATCATGGCCCTAGGCTATGTCGATACATACATGTATATGTACATATACATATATTGGAAATATATATTAGATATAGATATACATACATATATATTTATACACTCATACCATATAGCAAAGGGAGGCTACCCCATCTAGGTTTGTCTAGGTATGTTTTATGTTTGCCTAATGATGAAATCACCTAACAACACATTTTTCAGAACCTAGCCTCAGTGTGAAGGACACATGACTGTATATTCAAGTGTACTGTATTGTATTCTATTCTACTCTTTTTTTACTTTTCTGGAAGGTAGGGTCATCTTTTTTCTTCTGAGAATCTGGTAAATGTTAATGAACCTCTCCCCAGAAAAATGCGCGCGCGCGCGCGCACACACACACACACACCCCCCTCTCCACAAAACCACTCATGGCTTTGTGAAGTTCAAGTAGCCTAGGGAGAGGCCAGGTGGTTAACAATGGAGCTCATTCCCAGTGAATTGGAAAAACAAGGGAACAACTAATAAGACCTTCAAAAGTCTTGCAGCAAAGAAAGGAAAGATTTGGTTCTGAGTGTTACTCCGTCACCCAGGAACTGGAGTTACATACGAAAAGCCCACCAACTGGGACTGGAGCTGAATGGTTCATGTGTTCTGCCTGCCATCTATGAAGGCTTAGGATTTCAAAAGATCTGGTAGAGGCATACTTACGTCATACAGTATATATTCAATAACATTACAAATGCTTATACCTTAGATTTAGGAATTCTGCTTCTAAAAAATAATCTGAAATAGGTAAAAGCTCTGTGGTCAAAGGGACTCACCAAATCATTATTTTACAGTAGTAAAACAAAAAACAAAAAAACTATAGGGCCAGGGATTTAGCTCAGTGGCACCACACCTGCCTTGCAAACGCAAGATCCTGAGTTTGATCTCCGGTACCGGGGTCGGGGGGCGGGGGGGCACGACTGTAAATGATACAAGTTCATGGAAATAAGTAGATGGCTGCTACAGTGTGGGTGAGTGTCTCCCAGGGTCCTCAGGTGGTGCTATTGGTGCTGTGGAGCCCATGGGAGGTGGGGCCTGCTGGGAGGGCCTTGAGCCATTGGTAGTGTGTCCTCAAAAGCAACTTTGGGAGCTCAGTCTCTTCCTGTCTCTCTGCTTCTTGACTCATGACGTGCACAGTTTGCTTGGACATGCACTTCCTCCTGTTGCCATCCAGCACCTTCACCCAGGGCCCAAAGCAACGGGGCTGCCCAATCTTGGACTTGAATCTTCAGAACCATGAGTTAAACAAACTTTCCTCTGTCTAAGTTAATTGCCTCAGGTATTTTGTTCAAGTGATGCAAAACTAACTAAACTATATTTATGCAACCTAAACTATATCTACTTAATTGAATGCAACACTTTAAATAAAATGAAGTTTTCTGAGGGACATACCAGCATGGTGGTTAGTACAGGGCTTATGTAGTGTTCTGGAGTCAGGCTGCTGGGGTCTGGTGCCCAGTCTGTGCTCTCTTTTTTTTTTTTTTTTTCTGGTACCAGGGATCAAACTCAGGTACTTGCGCTTGCGCAGTAGGCAGTGAAACCACTGAGCTAAATCCCTGGCCCTTAGTCTGTGCTCTCTTATTGCCTAACTCTTCAGTTTTCACATCTGTAAAATGGGTATAATATTAACACTAACTTTATAGAACATGACAGTTATATAAGTTAATACATCCAGAGTATTAGAAATATTACTGGGCACATAATAAGCATTCAGTGCTATCATCACATTGCTATACAAATCGTACAATAGAATTGTACCTATATATAATTATTCAAATAGGCATATAGAAAAATTATTTTAAAATCGGTTCTACATTCTATTTGACCTTCCTGAATTAAGTACTGTTTTTTGGTTCTACCTACTCCAAAATGTGACATAAATTGAACTCTTCCCTAGCCTCACTTGATGGAATTACTGAGGATTCCAAGTTATTTCTAAAAAGAAGCCACTTTATTGGTGAGGTGTAAGAAGAAAGAGAAGAGTCTCCTCATGAACTAGAGTTTCTTCCTTCAAACTTCAACAGAGTATAAGGAGATAGAAAGGGATAAACAAGTTTCTAGTGTACGTACCATATCAACGCCCCAGAAGGTCACTTTAGCCCTTTCCTAACCAAGTGCTTTTCATTCTTAATTCGCCCTAGTCCTGATTTGTAAATTATTAACTATCGTGCAGTACTTGTAGTCTGTAACAAATTTGCTACAGGTTTTTAGATGTTGAGCTAATTTACATACCTCTATCTTCCTTTCTAAAATCAAATTTTCTTGCGTGCGAACTGAATAATGAAATATCCAGCTCATTCTGTTCTAAACCTGCTTGTTGAATACACGTGGAAATTGAAATCTTGCACAAGTTCCTGGTGCTCATATTAACCCAAGACAATTTGAATGTCTTAGAAACAGTGTTGAGGAAATCAACACTCTTGCACTTCTACTGTATTTCTAGGGCTAGGTTCTATTTATTCACTGAATCTTTCCAGTGATTCAGAGGCATCCATGGACTGGGAGTGTCCGAGAAATCTGTCCTCTGTCCTCTGAAGAAACCTTGGCTCCTATGCAGCCTTTGCCAACCTATTCAGATGTCAGTTCATCAAGCTACCAAAGAAAAAAGATAGCCGGGGATTTAGGTCAGTAGTGCCTGCCTTGCAAGCACAAGGTCCTGAGTTCGATCCCCAATACAAAAAAAAAAAAAAAGATAAAAGCAGATGCATTATTATTAGGGAGGCTAGAGGGGCTTTATCTGTTTTCTTAATGCTTTTCTATTTTAACCAAGTGTGCTATGTATTAGTAAAAACATAACTTTTAAAGCATCAAGCCTTGGTAAACCTAAAAGCAGAATATTATATAAACATCATTAATGTAGGAAACAAAAGTTTTAGCTCTAGCTTGCTTCTACCACCCCATGAAACTTCAAATTAATCACTTTTCCTCTTTGTCCCTCCATAAAATGAGAAAAATACAATCTGATCTGCTTATAAGTTTCTGGAAGGGCAAGGGAAACAAATGGTGGTCAAGAATGTGTCTCCATCACCTTCCAACTCACCCCCCTGCTGCTCACCTGCCTTGTCTGCATAACAGGTTCATTAAATATTTGTTGAATCATTAACAACCAAATCAATGAATGAATAACTAGGTTAAAGAATCTTAGGGTCAGTTTACAAAACTGTCTTATATGGCTTGTTTCTCAGGTAGATTTCTAGTTTCAGTTTGGCAAGAAACATTTTCCCCCTTGTATTTCCCTCAATATCTTGTAAGTATTATGTTTAAAGTAGGTACTCAATAAATACTCATTAAATGAACAATGTATTACTTAAAGTTAGATTCTATTCTCAATTTTTTATTACCCATGGGTTGATTTATAAATCATCCAAAACTTTTTGTACTTTTTTAGGCAATCTTTCTCCTTATTATAGTAAAAAGGCCAGAAAGGTGAAATTGAAGAGGTTAGTTTACCTTCTTGGAGGTGGTGTTTATAAAAGTTTGTTAAAAAATAATTTTAGAGCCAGCCGTGGTGGTGCACACCTATAATCTCAGCACTCAGGAAATGGAGGCAGGAGGATCATGAGTTTGAGGCCAGCCTGAGCTACACAGCAAGTTCAAGGCCAGCCTGGACAACATAGTGAGATCCTCTCTCAGAAAACAAAAAAATTAAAAAACAAAACAAAACCTTTAAAAAAAACCCCTTTAAAAACCATTGCTATTTTTATTTATAAATGGTCTTTCTTTCCCATTAACAGGATTGTTTTAGTTTAAAAATTTTAAAGATTATCACAATCATAGATTTTTTTTCTTTCTAAAGATATACATTCCCACCTTTTACTTCTTACTTAAAATGTTTATACCAAGACACACCCCCTCAATGGAGATGACAACTGTGAGTGCCATTGTATATTTTACTTTCTTTGGTACATAAAATCAGTAGCAAATTGTGATCACTTCTCAAGAGTCAAACCAAATTATTGTTTGGATGAAGGATCCACTGATGATCACAGAATTTTCAGTAGCTCCGTGGTGGTTACCTCTCGTGGATGAAATCTTATCTGTGAACTAAAAGGCTAACTCAATATTTATGATAATGATCATTTTTGGTTTGCAATGTTGACTGTCATCCTGGCTTACCTTGGAACAGGTCTGAAATATTTCAGTGTGATAATCACGACCTTGCTCTTCTGTTAGTTCCTTTAAATCATGTCCAGAAGAAAACACAGGTCCCTCAGCTACAAATGTTGCCAATTGAGAAAAGAAAAGAAAAAGATATAAAACTTCAGAGGTGGAGAGTTCATTTATTTATCTACTGAATAACTTTGGTAACCAATCACAAAGCCATCTATGCTGTGGACACTTAGAAAGTTAATGGCTCAGTTTTGATTAGAACAATTCCAGTTTGCCTGAAAAGGTACAAACAGAATATCACCATGAAATGCCAAAGCCCTTGTCTCCTAAAAGCCCATGGTGGAAACCAATGAAAACTAGCAATTACATAAGAAAGCATCTCTGTGACCAAGGTGAAGTTTTTTGTTTTTTTTTTTTAATTTTGGACTCCATCTGGCTTGAGTGTGTGAACCCATGCAGGTCTCTTGCAATCCACCATGCCTTTGGCATTGTCTCTGTCATTTAGTGTACTGGTGAGGACCACCCATAGGGGTGGAATCTGGAAAATCAGAGTGTGAAGAGAACTTGGGAGCCATCTGGCTCAAGTTCTTTATTTCACAAGGGAGGGAGCTGAAAATGTGGCTCCTGCCACTGTCAGCAACAACAAATGTCATTCCACAGATAAGCTGCTAATCCTTCCTCATATTTCTCCTTCTTTGTGGTCATTTTGATAGGTAACAGTATCTTCTTTTTCGCAAGTGAAAAATGGTACAGCTAAGAACTTAAAGGCCTTTACTGCATCCACATTACATCTCTCATGGCTGCTGAATTGTACTCTTTCTAATTTCTTTTCCCTCTGCCTTATAAAACAGTTGAAACTTTCTGTTTGCTGAAAAGGTAACATTCTAAGGATCTGCCTCCAGATCTTTAATTTGCAAAACAAATAGACCATCCTGGAGCATTACTTGTTATATTTTTCTGAGGGTTCTTGAAAATGCTGACATTACTATTATTTATGCCCTCACCAGCATCACATGAAGATAATTCTTGAATAATTCTTATTGGAAAAAGAGCAAGGGAAGAGATGGGCAAAACGTGGCACACTTTTTTGGCATCATTAAAGACAATGCTGTGGAAATCAAGTGTAAGGCATGGTAAGAACAGAAAAAGACAAACCAATCAAATGGCCAAACAGCCATGTCCTTGCTGGCTATGACTTACCAAAGGATTATTTATAAGGTCCATGAAGAAATTCTACTTTTTTTTCCCATTTCTAGAGAACAAACCCAGGGTCTCATGCATGCTAGCCAAGCACTCTCCTAATTTAGATAGACTCCAAACCCTGATGTTCTGATGTTAATGGGAAGACCAGCCTAGCAAAGTGTGGCGATTTCTAGTATCTAACAAAAGAGAAAAGACACATTTTCACCATATAGTATTTTTCTACAATTTCCATGGTTAATAGGGATAGTACAAAAATCTCCAACTATTTGAGTTTTCCATAATGAATGCCCTTCAAAGGAGCTTCAAAACAGCTCTCCAGTTAAGGGAAGGAATTCTCCTAGTTATAAAGACTTTTTTTTTGGTACCGGGGATCAAACTCAGGACCTTGCGCTTGCAGGGCAGGCAACGGAACCACTGAGCTAAATCCCCAACCCCCAGGTATAAAATCTTTTGAGAAACCCTTCTGTGTAATGCAAAGCTGTAAGGAAAAATATCAGATAAATACCTGAAATGATAATGACTTTCAGATCTTTGCTTTCAGCTTCATGAAGAATATCATTTTGGAGAGATTTCAGCATTGCGAGTGACAGTGCATTCCTCTTCTTCGGATTGCTCAAGACAATGCGCCTTTGAAAAACATTTTACAATCCCTGGGTCATGTACCCATCAAAACAAGTGAGGACCCCTGCAATTCCTTTCTAATTTGGGAGCTATTTAAAAACCCCAGAGAATTGCTGGTGCTCAGTGCCAATTTAAAAGGTCCATCAGCTCTCTGGTGTTACAACTAAGTCAAAACAAGAAAAAGACGACTTGAAATGCAGGCTGGCTTTTCTCTCTTGTCCCTTGATTTGTTTCTCCTTTCTTCTACATTTGCTGTCAGAAACATGACTGCCACCTCCACAGAAAGGGCAACTCACAGCAATTCCAAAATCATCTCTGCCTGTAGAGAATGTGAGTTTTCTATGACAGTGGAAGAAGCTGGAGGAATCTGACAGACAGTACCTACAGTACCTACCTTCAACTTATTTCCTGGTGTTATTTGTCAGAATAAGGTTAGGAAAGAAGCCAAGAATGAAAATACTTCCCTAAACCTCCTCCCACCCACCCAAAGAAAAGGCAGCCAAGGTACAGCTCCCAATACACATATATGACAGCATTTTAAAAATCTGTCTTAGAACGGCATCCTGTTATTCTGCAAAATAATTCTGAGAACGGGATGATGCATGAAGAGAAAAAGGACAAAACCATATAACAAAAAGGCTCTTCTGGACATTTCATCTCTCAAAAAGCTGGCACTGAAAGGGCTGTTCACTATTTTAAAGCATCCCACATGCTGAATAAAACATCCTGTATTGTCATTTTACTACCTTAAACAGAAATGTCTTACTTTTGCTATTATAAGGGGCAATGAACCAAACACCAGATTATTGCTATATATTTTATATATTTCCTACCAGTTTCCACCTACACATGGTTTTTGCCTTTCTCGTTCCTTTTTGAATTGGATATTCCTATTGCTATGTAGTCAACTTGGCTCCTCTGTGAACAGTGTTCTGTGCCACAGGTTTTTGGAAAACAACTTTGATGGCTGAATTTATTTCAGTGCAATAAGAATAACCATTTTCTTTAGAATACCATTTCAATTTTGCTGCAGTTTTTGGGTGGCTGTGATATTGTTTTGTTTCTCATAAACATGTTTTCTCATAAGTACAAAAATTACTTGTACCTGATCTGCTGATAGACTTTGAACTTCTATTTGGGAGCATGATGGTAGTGGTGAGAGACCTGCTCATAACCTTTCAACAGAATAATGAGTGTGCTTGCTGTAGGAAGTATAAAAAGCTTCCGTACCATTGGTGATATATGTCTCAATGAAATTCTAAGGCCTTGAGTAAAATTGTGCAAAAGTTCCAGCTGGACCCAGGTGAGGCAGCACACGCCTGTAATCTCAGAATTGGAAAGTCGATGCAGGAAGATTGCAAGTTTGAATCCCACCTGGGCAACTTAGTGTGGCCCCATTTCAAAATACCATCTATCCAAAAAGGAAATCTCTTTCAGTATGAGGTCACCACCAAGGTTTATGATGTAAATTAGAGGTCCCTATAAATGTCCCTGATGAGCTATGTGGAGATTATCACTGTAAACCATGAGAAGGTCCATGAAGAGAGGGACAGTCATGCCCACACACACAATAAATATCTGTGACTGGGTAAAGGACAAAAATAGCATTTGTATTTTTCACAACTGATTCCACCAGCCACAGTGGCTTGATATCACATCTACTGTGTGGTAACTCTTTTAGACCCAGTGGTGAGTACACTGAAATAGGATCACAGGTAGAAACCCTGGGCACAGGGACCTTTCTAACTCCTGGTAATCCTACTTACTGGCTCTGTGGCCTTGGCCAAGCTGCCACCTCTCTGAACTTGACTCTCCCATATAGTGTTATCTACCTTTCAGGTGGTTTAAAGAATTAGCGATAATGAATGCAGAGTGCCAGGCCTAGCCCTCAGTCCACAGCCGGTTCTCACTACATGACAGCATTACTGCTGCTTTGAACAGCTCTGTGCAACGACTCTTAAACTGACCAAGTTGCTCAAGCCCACCTGCTTAGTACCTAACATAGTACTACTGCTTTACTGCTTGATTTGGGGGTTTCCTCCTACTATATGATTCCTAGCATTATCATTGTTCCAATCGCTTTCCTTTCTGATTCATGTTTAATTATGAAGAATTCAGTCTTCCATCTCTTGTCATCTGGCTGTCATGACAGATGTCAAGCTTCCAATCAGATGTGACCACGTTTACAGAAGTATGACTGCTCTTAAAAAGCAGCAAGTAGAGGGGCCCAGGATTTAGCTCAGTGGTGCCACCGCTTGCCTTGCAAGCGCAAGGACCTGAGTTAGATCCCTGGTACCAAACCCCCCGCCCAAAACCAAAAAAAAACAGCAAGTAGAGGCCCTCTGTGGGCCTTGCGCTGCAGAGCCCTGCTCTGGCTTTCTTCCTGTAGTGTCCCTAAGGATGGGAAAGGGGTCCACAAGGAACAGAATCAGCCCCATTCTAAGCCCTGCTGCAGTTACTGAGACCCTGGGATTCCCTCATCCTCCAGTGGGCACCCTAGAACCAGGGGTTTGGTCGGGTGGGCCTGGTGGGACGTCTGCTGACCTGTGTGCTAAGCCCCTTACAGGACAGAGGAAGGAGGGATGGAGAGGTGGAGGCAGTGAGAGGAGGCTGGGAAGAAACAGAAAAAGCTGCAGGCTGGGCTAGGGAACACCTAGAAGTCTGAGGATTGTAAATTCAAACATGGCCTTCCAGGTCTTAGGAAGGGACACCTGTCAGAATGGGAGAATAAAACAGCCTGATCCATAACTCTTAAATATGAAACATGCCTCCATGTGTATTTTGTACACTTACCCTGACCAGGCAAAGATCAGGGTCAGATCTTACCAGCTAGGAGCCCTCCAAACTTTATTGCTCCCACCACGCGGCTTCGTCTGTGCGTTGGTGTGTCTTTAAGGTTTTTAGACTTGTGCAAAAGGGCAGAGTTTAGGGAGGCCCGCCTTTAATTCTATTTGTTGACCTACGGCCACCTCCCGCACTTCTGGTTACACCCCCACCCCCCCACCCCCGCTTCTGGCCAAGGGCCCCGGGCAGGTCAGCTAAAGTCACTGCTCCTGCAGCCAGGCATGGCTGTGAGGGACACGAATCACTTTTTGGGAAAGCCTTTCTTGAAGGCCCTGGCAGACTGAGGGGGCACCTGCCGAGCCACCCACGCCAGCCTCAAGGTCCAAATAGCGACAGGACTCGGTTGTCCTGAGGATTCAGGGAGTGCTGGGTTCTTTTGGGGCAGTTCCACGTAAGTCCTCGCGTGTCATGTGCTTACATGCATGCCAAGCTATGGGACATATGCAAACACACTATGCAGAGATTCCTCTGCCAAGAGCTAAGTCAGCCAGATAGGGTCAAAGGCGGTGAGGACGTAACCCACCACCAGCCCTTCTGGTCTCGTCCCCGGAACCCCCGGGAGCCCTCGCCGGCCACAGGCTGACCTGATGCCGTCCTGCTGCCGCGTACTGGTGAGATGCGACTCCGACTCGCGCCGCCCGGACGCCCCTGGACCCCCGCTGCAAAAGCCAGCGGGGAGCAGGGCCCAGGGGCTGCGCGGGAGCCAGCCGGGCCCCTTCGCCGCCAAGGCCCGCAGGCCCGCGAAGGTGGCCATGGCAGCCAGACACCCGACGGGTCGACCCGGACACCGCCTGCTCGCGCCCGGTCGCACTCTGGGCACTGCGAAGGCGCTGGTGCAGAGCGAGCCAAGTGGTGAGCGAGACCCACACAGGCTGAGCCCTGGCCCCGCAGAGTCCACTCCCAGGCCAGACTCAGCGCCACCCCAGGCCCTGTCCCTGGCCCCACCCCCAGGTCGCCTCCCACACCTCCATCCGGCCCCGCCCCTCTCAGCTCCGCTCCCTTGAACGCCCCTCCCCTCCCCATGGAGCCCCACCCCAGCCACCTCCACCCACTAAGCCACGTGCTCCTGTGCCACTGGCACTGTACCCCTGACCCCATGCACCCTGGGGTGAGGGACTCAAAACCCATGGGCCAGCTCTGCGATTCATTTGGTTTAGCCAGGCTGTGAGAGAGTTTGAGGAGGCAAGCACTGGGTTATCTTGTTTCTTTTTGCACCAACACCAGAAATGTGCTGGATGCCCTTGTTAGAAAAATTAGTGTTAAAAAAAAAAGAAAAGGAAAATTAATGTCATCAGGTTGTGAGTGGCATGAGCTGTTACAAATTGCTTTGCACACACCACCCACAGGAAACACTGTCAGGCCCTGCGGGCTGAGGTGTAGCCTAGGCAGACTTGGACTTTTGAATGCTTTGCATCTTTTTATGGAGGCCTATGGGGTCCACTTTTACAGTGTGAGTTTTTGAAATGCACCGAGGATGGGCTGGAGCCCTTCGTGGGAATCTCAGGGGCTGACAGGAGGCCATGCACTTCCTGAAGTGGGAAAGTTAGAGGGTGAGAATATCTTCATTGCTATTTGATAGTCACTTCCCTCAAGTATTTAATTTCCAAAGTGTGGAGATTTGTAGGGGCATAGAATAAATGGTCTCAAGGGTCAGGATCTTACTGTCTCTAGGGGAGATGCCATCCCTAGGTCCCTGCACCCTTTCCCACAGTGAAGTTTTGCAAAGATAACAGTTATACAAAGGACATACTCAAATGGGGCCATTGCAGTTCCATAATGGTTTAAAGAGGTCACACTGGATTCCTCAGCTTCATAACTGGACAAAATAGTATGTAAAAGACAGTATTTAAAATATCAGTTGCGATCACTACCACTCCACCACCCCTCTGCTCCATTTCCTTTGTCCTATTCTGTGATAGGAGGTAGAGCAAGGACAAGAAAACAACAAAAAGCATGAACAGGGCAGGGGATTTAGCTCAGTGGTTCTGGCTTCTACCTCAAAAGAGCAAGGTCTGGAGTTCGATCCCTGGTACAAAAAAAAAGCATGAACAAAGATCACTATGTCAAAATAACAGAAAATAGAAATGAAGTTCGCACATAAAGTTAAATTTTAACAATTTAATTTTGTGTGTGTTTGTGTATTCTTTTTGCTGTTTTGAGGATCAAACCCAGGGCCTTGAGCATGCTATGCAAGCACTATGTCACTGAGCTACATCTCCAGCCCAAGTTAAGTATCTAGAACACTTGAGCTTGTGCTGGGATTTGTATCTGTCCTCTTAGACCTGCCAAGTGCCCCAAATAATGCAGAGCATACATGATCCAAAACCCTGATCAAAATGATCACAATTATGGGCCCAAGTCTATTGTTGGAGGATACCTGTAACTTTGCTTAGTTTCACTGGGAGGACTGAAGGTTTGGGTGGGAAAATATAAAGAGATTGCTTCACCTCAATTTAGGAGTTGGAATAAAAGAGAAAACTGGTGTACAGTTGTCCCTTGATATCTGCGTAGGATTGGTTCTAGGACTCCCCATACATACCCAAATCTGTGCCTGCTCAAGTCCCTTGTATGAAATGGTGTAGTATTGGCATATAACCTACATACATTCTCATATATTGAACCCAAGGGTGCTCTACCACTGAGATAAATCTCCACATCCCCAGGGTCTCGCTAAATCACCCACACTGGTCTCCAACTTGTGATTCTTCTGGCTAGGCTTCCTGAGTAGCTGGGATTAACAAGCATGAGCCACCACATTTTTAATAATCTGTAGATTACTTATAACACCACATACCTACACATCACTTTATACACATAGATTCAGCATAATACTCAAGGTAGCAAATTTTTTACTTTTTCAAACTTCCTGCAAATTTTTTTCTCCAAACATTTTTAAACCATGGTTGGTTGAATTCATGGTGTGGAACTTATGGATATAGAGGGCAGAGTGTACAAGATTTTGAGAAAAGGAAGAAACTGGCAGGATACTCAGAGCTGGAAAGTCGTGGATTAAATGAAGTTTCGGAAATAACTTCACTTGCTTCTAAATTTTACTTAATAATAATGACAATTGCTCTTAATGGAGCCCCCACTCTATGCCAGTGCCTTTACTTGGTACTTTAATTTATGTCATCTCTATTAACATCATATAGGTAAGTTTTATGAGTCTAGTTCATAGAGGTTTGGCCAGCTGTGTTTGTACTAAGTTGAGTCCCTGGAGTTGATGCTGAGGGTCAGTTGAAAGATGGCACTGTGGACAGAGACTTTTATCCTCATCTAAATTCCTATGCTCATTCTCCCATTTCCCTAGTTTCTTTCAGACCCTGTAGTCCTGTTTTGAGAGTGGCAAACACACAAGGAAGTGGAGATGGATGGCCATCTCATTATCCAGCCATGAGTCGATATAATTTGCTGAAATGCTGGTCCATCCTCCAGCAATGTGAGGCTCTTTCAAATTCAGGCTGCTTCTACAGGCCTCCTCAGCCTCTCATTAATTTTTGTAGGGGCTGCTTGTCTTTCTCTCTCTCTTGTTCAGTGCCCTTCTAATCTGTTTTCCACATGACCCTTCTCCCTGACTCAATTTGATTTCTAGGTTGCTAGCAGGCTTCTCTCTGGCTCTGATTTATGTGTGCCTCCCCTGTGCCACATGTCTTTGCTGGACAGATGTGTCTCTGCTACCTTTTCACATTTCCTTTAAGGACCCACCAATGCTTGGCAGAATGTTGCAGAAATAAAGCAGAATAAAAAGATAGTTCTAGGAAGCCTAGTGTCTCAGGTTTGATGTAGGAGTGAAGGAAGATTTAGACCTCCTCAGGGTGCAGAGAAAGAAAAGGGCAGATTTTTAGCTTCTTATGGAGTCGTTCTTGAACTTTTAAAAACATTTTATTTCAGGCCTGTCTGAGACAGACGTGTGATGGCATGGGTCAGAGGTGTGATGGGGATGATGTGGGAACTTAGCTTCACTGGGGATCCCTCTGGCCTCTGGCTGATTCTCTAATTCTGGCTTTCCAGTCTCATTTTCTTCCCCAAGTCTGTCTCCCTATCCTCAAAAGCCTGATGAGGCTCAAGCTCCTATTAACCAGAAAGTTTTCAGAATTTTGTGGATGCATAAAGCTGTGCATGCTTTTCACTGTTCCAGTTTCATTATTTTATATTTTATGTATAGCAATAGTCATTACCCAAATTTTTTTTGGGGGGGTTGGTACCGGGGATTGAACTCGGGTCCTTGTGCTTGCAAGGCAGGCAGCAGAACCACTGAGCTAAATCCCTGGCCCACCCAAATGTTTTTGTGGGTTTTTTTTTTGTACCGGGCATCGAACTCAGGTCCTTGTGCTTGCACAGCAGGCGGCGAAACCACTGAGCTAAATCCCCGGCCACCCCAGATGTTTTTTGCAAACTTAAATTTCTTTTTTAGTGAAATTGTTTTTTTTATTTTGGAAAAACATTTGTTGGTACATTTTAGATATACATAATGATAACACTCATCATAGGGAATTTGTACCAGTACATAATATATCTTGCTTCTTTTTTTCCCCATTCCCTCCCTTATGTACAAAAGCATTGTTTCCATTTTTTTCCTTTGATTTTCTCTCTTTTTTTTCTTGTCCTTTCTTACCTTTCCCCCTCTCCCCTCCCTGGTTCCCGTTCTCATTTGAACATTTAAGATCCATACCTCAAATTGGGTGAAAATTAGTTTAGAGACTAAATGAGGAGAAGTGTACATGAATGAAATTAACTTCCTTTTATTCCCACTTAGTACGGGTTCTTGAGTTTGCTCATAAGCCTGAAACAAAACAGTAACTTCAAGTGAGGGATATGGAAGAGTGATATACACTAATGATGTGTGCATGCTTCACAGCATTGTGATTATAGGTAACAGGGCCCCAATTCCCTCTGCATTGTTCCCAGATGATGTTTCTAAATTGTGGATCAAGTTGTCGGCAGCTCCTCATGTCGCTTAAAACCCAGACTCACTGCCATGCCTTGGAAGGCCAGCAGGGACCAGTGCCAGTTTCTCTCTTTAGAACCTTGCCACTCTCTCTCTTTGTTCCTTTCTCCACTCATAACCAGTCCTCTTTTCCACTTTTATTGAGATATAGTTGACAAATCAAAATTGTATATATTCAAGATGTATGATGTGATTTTTTGATAAATGCATGCATTATGAAGTGATCACTACAATCAAGCTCACGTGTCCATCACCTCACATAACTACCATTTGTGTGTGTGTTATGAGAACATTTAAGATCTATTCTCTCTGTAAATTTCAAGTAACAATACAGTATTATTAACTATGCTCATCTTACCTTACATTAGGTCTCCAGAACTTATTCTTCTAGTGTAGATAGAACTTTATATCCTAATTCCCCACCCCAAGTCCCTGACAACCACCCTCTATTCTGTGCATGTAGGAGTTGATATCCAGTCTCTGGAGCTCCAACATCTTCCTGCTTCAGAGCCTTTTCATGAATGTGGAAGATTCAGCTCTCAAATCTTCACTTGGCTACATGTACTCCCAAGTTCAGGTCCCATTTCCAAAAATGCCACTTTCTGACCCCCAATCTTGATGAAGTTCCTAGCCCCTCTATGTTCTAATAGATTTTTGTTCCTTTTCCTTGCCTATCTAATCCTTTAAAATCAGGTGTTTATATCTGTTTCTCAATCATTTCTCTTCTGGCTCCACTATAAGTTCTGACGGCAGAGCCAGCGCATGCTTTTCTCACCACCAGGCACCTGACACCTTGCACCTGGCACAGACAGGCATACTATTACTTGTAGGATGAGACTGCTGAATACACGAACATCGTATCTGCTCAAACATCTTCTCTGGCTCCTGTTATATCACCTAGAGAAGTACAAGTTTTTTAGTTTGATGTACAAACCCCTTACTCTTCAAATCTTATTCTACATTAATACTCTGTATAGATCCA